CAGTTTATAGACTGAGACAGACTAGGAAGAAGGAAGAGGCCGTCCACTTCTGAAAGAATTGGCCAGGGAAAACCTTATGAATAGCAAAGAAACACTGTGAGAACAGGGCAGTGAAAATAGAGCCAATCAGACCAGACCTAGAGGGCCAGCAGTGGCAGAGGGTCAAGTTCAAAGACCTCAGTTCTAGGCCTTCAGGACAGAAAGAGCTTCAGACCTTCTGAGACCAGATAAACAGACCAGGCAGATGAACTCTGTGCTGCCTTGGGCCTGCTGTCCCAGCTCCAGGGTACATCCCAGAGCCGACACAGCTGAGAGCGTGGACCCACAGAGCGCACTGATAGGACCCGGGTGGTTGTATCGTCAGCTAGGCTAGACCCAGCTGCAGTCTCGTCAGTTCCCACTCATGGCGGCCCGTGCGCGTCAGGGTAGCACGCGTCCACTGGGTTCTCGGGCGGATTTTTCACAAGTAGGTCCCCAGGCTTCCAACCCACCCGTGGGTGGACTCAGACCTCCAACCTCTCAGTTCTCAGCCGACTGCATCGACCGTCCGCACCACCCGGAGACTCCCAGCTTAGCTGAGTGCCCCAGAGCTTGGGGCTGCAACCACCAAGGCTTCTGCGCTGCTCACCTCGAGTGTGCGTTGTGGGTCAGCTGTGATCCCTGCGCCACCTCTACTCCCAGCTGGGCAGAGGGGGCCCTATCGGGGACATTCCCAGTGTCTTACAAAGGGGTAAAAGACAGAGAGGACCTGCTGACTCTGAGGTCTCTGCTTAAAAGTGAAGCTGTCACTTCTGCCTGTATCTTACTGGCTGAAGCAAATCACGTGGCCATTCCTGAGTCAGCAGGCTTGGGATGTACAGTCTGCCCATGATGTCTGTGTGTGTTGGGGGCCGGAGAGGAGCGTGGGGTGGAGCAGGGTGGGAGCGGTCCATAGTTTGAACAGTTTGGAGAGGCCCTTTCTCAGCAGGGTAAGACAACAGCTGGGACTGGCTAGATGTTTTCATTAGAAAAGCAGTGGCAGTCCCATGGTCTGGGAAATCAAGGGGGGCTTGGGTCATGCGGAGGGGGCTGTGTCGAGAGACAGATCTTAAGGTTGGTCCTGTTTTGGCAACACAATGCTGAGAGCTCCAAGATGGTTCTAGGGAGAACAAGCTCAGGCCAGGTCGGTTCAGGGAGACAGTCATGCTGACTGTCAGGTGCTGTGGCGAGCGTACCCAGGCTGCCTTAGGGATTCATCAATGGCTTCCCAGCGTCAGAGCAGGGTGGAGCCCCTGTGGACAATGCCAGCATCCTGGCCGGGGCCGGGAGTGTCAGGTTGTGGGAAGCCATGAGGTGAGATCCTGGACGAGAGAACTGGGGCCGTGGAAGGCCGAGAGCAAAGGTGCACCTGTCCTCCAGAATTCCCCGGGCTCTGGCAGCAGAGAAGCCAGGCAGCTCAGCAGGCGGAGGAAGCTTTAGAAGAGGAGGCGACTCTGAAAAGTCGGTTCCAGAGACTACGCAGAGGCTTCCGTGGCCACAAGTAATGAAACCCAGGGACCAGGCAGACAGATGAACTAGGCTCCCTTTCCAGTCCACAGAAAGTGGTTGGGCGGGATGGGTGCCAAGAGAGTCAGGAGCCTGGCCTGGGTCACGACCCACCTCTGTGGTCCAAGAGGGAAGTGAGGGGAGGTTCAGCCCCACGTAGGCCACATGGGATGGATTTCCCACAGGAGAGAATTCTGGGATGCAGAAGCCTTCTGCTACATGTGTCCTGTGGGGAGTGAGGATCTCTGACAGGTCGTTGACCCCAAACCAATTCAACCCAGGAGCACTCAGCTGCCCCTTACTCTCAGGCCAGACACGCATCTTGAGGTGTTTGCACACTTGAGCCATCAGAGCTCTATGACTCGGTCAACAGGTGTTTGTATGCTTGACCTAGTAAAATGGATTATCCAGAGTGACTAATAATCACACTCTATCCAGAGCAGACACGCAACAAGGAGGAGGCTGTGTTGAGTGCATGACCTTTAAATCAGCTAATGCAAACAAGTAGGCCTTGGGGAGGAGTCTGTGTGCCTCCTAAAGGCCCAGCCCCAGACCGGCTCTATCAGGAGGCTTCTGAGAGCTACAGGACAGATGACCCTGGCGGAAGACTTGACTCACTAACCAAAAGAACCAAACTCACTGCTGTCGAGTGGATCTGTCTCATAGCAACCCCTCCTTGGGTTTCTGAGATGGTATCACTACGGAAGTAGATTGCCCAATCTTCCTTCCAAGAGTGGCTGGTGGGTTTGAACCACCAGTCTTCTGGTTAGCAGTCAAATGCCTTAGGCACTATGCCACCAGAGCTCCTAGATGACACTAAATAGTTGCTCTTCATAAGTCATTTTCTGTAGGACAGGTGTGGTAGTTAGGTTATGTGTGAACTTGGCTAGGCCTGATTGAGTGGTTGGGCAGCTGGATGTAGTTATTCCCAATGATGAGACTGGCAGTGAACTCCATGGTGGAATCTACTGTGAGCAGCTGAGTAACTGCCTTAGGGCTGTGGTCTGCTTTCAGTATATAAGGAGAAGCTTTGGGAATGGTCTGCAGCTTTTGGCACGCTTGGACCCTGTATGTAGCTGAGTCTTCATTCAGCAGCCTGCCATGCCCTGCCAATCTTGGGCCTGTCTCTGGACTTGAACTAGTGGCCTGCCCTGTTATTTGGTAATATGGGGGCTATGCCATTTTATTTGTCGACCTTGGGCTTGTTAGCCTCAGCAGCCAGTAGCTGCCTGAGTGAAGAGATGGCCTCTAGCTCCAGTGGGCTGGGAGCAAGAGGCAGACCTGAAGCCCAAGGCCAACGGGCTTCCATCCAGCTCCCAGATCCTGGCTCATTGAACTCAGACTTCCCGCCTCCAAAACTGTAAGAGAATAAACTGTTTGTTGAGACCACGCATT